GAGAGAGAGAGAGAGAGAGAGAGAGAGAGAGAAAGACAAGGACGAGGAGAGACAACGGGAGGGATGGAACTATGTGTACTGTTTGTAGTATGTCTTCCAAAAGGGACAGTGCTTGTTTTCGTGCGATTTAAAATTTCGAGGTCATGTAATGCTAATTTGAATGCCCATCACGTTTTGAGAGTTTTAAAAGAGAAGTCAGGGGGAGGAAGGGGGGGGGGGGATTAAACAGACGCCGTAGATGTGTCAGAGAGAACCCGGTACGTGTGACACCGGCCGGCCAGCAGGGCTTAAGCTGCCGGGCAAGTTGAAACGAACCCGGTACAAGAAGGAGAGAGGGACGGAGGAGGACCAGGAATGTGGCTAGATTTTCTGGTTTCCCCACTATTGTGTCGTCTGCAGATGTCTTGTAAAACTATGTGATCACTTTTCTGTCCGCAGTATGTGGGTTCTCAGCGTAGGAGGTCTACTGAAGTTGTAAGAGTAGAACGTGCGGAGAGAAATTAGTCTCATGTGAACGCACTCTTGAGGTTTATAATAAATATTTTACCTGATATCAAAAGAGCTGTTTGTGTGCTGCGCCTCCAATGTCGTTTCTGAGGGATATACAGCGTTTTTAGCTGTGCTTTAGAGTTGGCAAAAAGACATGTGTGAATCTTTCTTGTTTAAGAATACCTTCTGTTATTAACAAGGTTGTGCAGGTCAAATTTTTCTTGAGAAACGCAGTCTGAAAAAGTAAAGAAAAAACGTTGTTTATACATGACATCAAAGTGTTGAGCTTGAGCTTTTTCTGGGGGAGACCCATCTGTTTCAGAGCTTATATTGTGTTTTGTTTTTAATTTAGTACAGCTAATGAGCTGAACTTTTTTTCCTGGCTATTGTAAGCTGTAGCGTTCTTCAAGTGACTTGAAATCATTCATTTCCCTGAACATTTGAGAGTGCATTGACCGAGTGGAGTTATTTTCGGGTGGATTTTACTTCTTTTGCGAAAAGTAGATTGGAGGAAAAGATAAGGTCCTTCCAAGATGAAAGAACTCAGAGGACATGTTGTCAAATTCTACAAGAAGAAATGGTCAGTGCAACTTCATGACAATATAATATAT